CCATCGGGGATGAGAGCCAAGAACAACTGTTGCGTGGGTCGTTGTTGTCGAATCGATTTGCAAATCTCGGTCCGTCTGGTGCTTGCGTACGATATGACAGCTCTCATGCGCGAAGTTAATTATTGTCTGACCGGTGTGAAACCAGCGGTCAGCTAGCTACCTTTCGTCACGTCACCGAGGACGGCAGCGAAGCTGACATTCCCTGGCCAATCAGCCAGCTGAGGGAGCTTTGGCGAGGTCCGTCACTCGGACACTCCAAAATCCTCAACACCGAAGTCAGCGGCGTTCTACGCCGAAAGCGAAGCCGTCACAACGGCGTTAATTACTACGGTGGTGAACGGACATGGCCAAGGACACGGAACCGACATATTCAGCTCATTAATTCCTGATGAGTACAAGAAAGAAGAAAATTACGACTTCATGTGCCGATATATTGTTCACATTCTTTGATTCTTTCTGAATCACATGCGATTTGGTCCGTTAAACAGACAGCAGCTTTACAGTATTATTCACTAGCCAAATATACAAGTTAATTGTTTATTGCTGATCCTCTTCCGTGCTGCAAATCGTTACCGTTTTAGATTCGTTTTTCACAACTACTTCCAAATCAGCCATGAATTTACCTAACGTCTTTGCTGTCAAAGAGACTGACAGAGGAAAGAAAAAGAGAATGCTTTCCAGTCACGTTATTTACGCATCTGACATGGACAAATATAATATAATAGCATATAACCGGACATGGCCAATACGCTAACTAGTTAGATTTTTAAATCTCAGAAGAGCAACAAAGAAATAATGAATGCGTAGAGAAGCGGCATGGAAGATACAAACTGTTGAGGAACGTATCAACCGATTTAACCAGCCATGACCGGCAGAAATGACATCAGTTCAGAAACGGGCGATATTCATGAAAAGAGACAGTACGTTACATGGTTCAATTGGCAATGACATCTGTTTCATCTGTTCCCACTTTGCCTCTGAAAGCCATATTTTAATTTCTATTCATACAATTGGTAGCATGACACGAAAAGCCATTTCACTAGTCAGTATTCAAATTTTATATCAGAGAGAACATGATAGTAAATCTTTTTCCTGATTGATTTTTAACTTCCTCAAGCCTCAAACGATAATGATGAAAACTCTTAGAATTGTCTCATCTATCTGAAATCTACTGTCAACTACTCTCGCTTTTCGAACGTGAGGCATCACTTAAAATCGTAAAACTAATCTTGCATACATTAAAAGTATGCTGGAATGGATGGGAAAATTTCACTGGAGTTTAAATGCACTCGTACTAGTCGCACGTTTACTCGGGATTTTTCTTCTGATCTTCCGGCATCGAAGAAATCTCCTAGTGCTGTACTGGCATTCCATCTGGATGGAATAAATGTGCGTTTATTCTTCAATAATTTCCATTACATCTCTCTTCAAACGAGGTTCTTTCATTTTGGTGGAGGTCTTCGTGAAGGCAGCTTGCCATCGGTCCATTTGCTGTGAGTCATCCCAATATTTTGAGGGTCCTCGATGCAACCGGTCGGTCATTTTAACAGGATATTCAAGTCTTTTTCTTACAGCAGAATTTGACACCAGATCGTATCGTTTCACTCTTAGTATCGATCTTATAATTCTTATTTCCGTCGTTTCCACTTCCTTACGCTGAACATCTGGTTGATAATCATGCATCAGATGTTGACTATAACTTTGTTCATCAACTTCTGATGGTCTCGTCTCATTGCTAGGCATAAGGTGTGATGTGCTTTCTGAAGCTATCCCGTTGATGAGTTCGCATAAGTAAAACTTCTCTCTTTGTCATGCCCACTGAAGACACAACTTTTAGCCATTTTGACTTCATGGCACCCATAAATGCATTGTGAAAGTTCTAGTTCCACTAAGAACATGATCAGCCATTCACTCGGTTTTCCATACTACATGCTGGCTTGCAACTCGAAATACGTCTTGTATCGTGTGTCCTGTAAAATTCGCCCGTGTTCAGCCAGTCTGCAGAAACGGCAACCTCCTTCCTTAACCTCTGCTTACTGACGACTCATGTTCCTGGAAGGGAATTGACTTATCCTCATGTGCCAATGACGTTTACCCCAACGATGCATCGGGACCTAGCTTTAACTACGATCTCAGTGCAGCACAGCAAGAACAATCTGACGGCACTAAGACACGGGTGAATCACTGAGGAAAAAATATTCTTTTTTCAACACAAACTACGGACAGATCGCCAAAAGCACCGCAGGCAAAGGCGATGCACCGGTTTGGCGGTGAGATGATTAATTTTTCAGCCTCCTAAATCTAACTGCACCTGTTGCACTTGTGTGCAATCGGATGCTGACAACGCCACCCGCCAGGAGAAACAGTTCTCCTCTCGCACCATACACTAGGACATTATCAGCAACACATCTAACAGGATGTGCTGAGTTCTGCTCCCTCTACAGCGAGATCTTCGTTTTTTAGCATCAGTTCAGAAGAGAAACTCAAAAACGATACGGCATATGACAGGCAAAAACTGAAATTCATGAGGAATTTCGTGGCCAATTGGGAACCACTGGGATCACCCTGCATGAGCTTGACGTCATGCATGGTTCTTGGGTACACGTTTCAAAAATGGAGGGGGTCAAACTCGATGCAGTTGACGCAAGTGGCCGACCAAGCCATTTGGAATCGTTGGCATTGGCTCAACGATTCATTGGAAACAGAAGACTTTTTCTGCTGCGGAACAGGCAACCGAACGAATGCCCGCGATGACTCGGACAAGCAGTGTTGAAAAGAACAGTGAAACAGCGTTCAGGTGAAAGCTTCGTTTGATTCTGTATAGCGAAGCTTTCTTTTGCATGGTTATTATCAACCGCTTCAAAGTGACCATATATGCGCGCTTGGTGTGGCGTCACCTTCAGCGGTTCGTTTATGCAGTATGTCTATAGTTCGCAGGTGTACGACAAATTTCAGCTAAGAGGCAAGGCACCGGTTACTCAATCACTAGGAGGCGAAATTGCTCTCCAAAATCAAATCTGTCTCTACCTTCTCAGTGATGTTCAATGTGGCTTCCTAGACTCATGACTAGTTTCGACTGGCACAAGAGAACTCCTTAATTAGAAGTTCAACCAGTTAAATTCTTCTTGTAGGCCCTATCAGCCTCAGCCTTCCCAAAATCGAAGAACATTAACTGCTGAACTCAAGTTACTGTTGTAACTCATGTACATAAACGGTTGTTTTGTGGCATTTGGATTCGATCAACGATTTTGAATTGATATCTTTGACACGTAAAAGTGATGTTGGAAATATTAATCGAGACAGTATCACAGCACGATTTGAAAGTAGGCATGAATCAGGCATGGCGATTAATTATTTTCTTAAGTTTGGACCTGCCCAAATGTAACAAACCGCAGTTGACGCAAACGAATTTGCAACATTGAATATTTGCCTAACTATCCAAACCAGGTAGCAGCAATTAAGGTGCTTTTTCCCTTTACTAAGTTAACGTGCAGGTGCAAGCATTTGCTACTTATGACTTGCAACATCCGAAACACAGCTTTAAGCCGCAGTCGAAACTGCGCCATTAAGATTCATCGTTCCGGTTTGGTGCCGTTTGAGTACTCATAGCAGAGGCAATACTTCAAGCCGGCTGTTTCTTGTAGACGGCTTTCGAAACAA